TGACCACGCTCTGAATCACATGTGTAATCAGTTCAATGGATGGGCGAGACGTCACGGGCGGTGTGACGTAGTGACCAGGAAGCATAAACGCATGTGCGGTGACACCGGCGTCAGCTTTCTGTCATTTAGCAAGCGCTCTGTGTGTGTGTGTGTGTGTGTGTGTCAGTCGCTATCTGTTGTGAGTCTTATTTAGTGTTGTTTGTCCACTTATAAGCTCCATTATGTCAAAGCTTCAGTCAATAGAAGCATTTGGGTGAGAGCAGGCAGCGTTCAGGCTGTGTGTTCATCCCTGCCCGCGCTATATTCGGGTGGGGACACACACAGTTTGTGTGTTGTCTGCTTGGGAGCGAAGCACGCAGAGTCTGCTCTCGAGGGAGTTGACTGCCTGCATTGCGAGCATTTGTTTCTGCCTTGCTTCACTCTCAGAAGGCTCTCTTTGAGGATGGAGCCTTCACTAGCGTTTCTCGCGGTGCCGGCTCCGCTTTCCCCGGGGCAGAGCGGCGGCTGTGCTCGTGGGGTTCGCATAGGGATCTGGTGGAGGGAATGTAGATGGGCGAGTACCTATCTTCTTCCTCACCCACCAGATCCAGAGCCCGCACTCGGGGTTCGGAAGCCTGCGCTGCGGTTCTTCCCCCCCGGGGAGAGGGCTCGATGCTCTGCCTGTCTTCCTCCGAGGAGGTTGATATGGAGGGCGTCAATGAGCTCGCCAGTTGCTCAAGCATCAGTTACACAAGCATATTATGCCTAATATTATAATGAGCAGCATTACTGGGGAGCGGAGCTCGCACAGTCAGCTCTCGGGGGGCTGATTGTGCCTTTCCCGCTGTTAAGCGCTCCGCCCTCACCAGGCACGCTCCAAAGAAATGTTTCCATGCCTGTGATCTTGCGGTTCCGGTCCCACTCCTGCTGAGGCATGGCAGCGATTGAGTTCGCGGGGATCGCACATGATCTGGCGGATGGGTTGGAGACGGGCTCTCCCTATCTCCACCCACGTTCCCTAGATCTAGCGCTCGCTCTTAAAGCTCGGAAGCCCACACTGCGGTTTCTTCCCCCTCTGAGTGAGAGCTCGCTGCGGCATTTATCTTTCTCCAAGGAGATTGATATTGTTTGTGTGACCGAGCGGGCACATTGCTGAGGCAATGCATGCATTAGGCAAGGCAAGTTTATTTATATAGCACATTTCATACACAATGGTAATTCAAAGTGCTTTACATAAAAGAAAAGTAAATACATCATTTTTGGTTTTTGATATTAATCTTATCACACCAGACCATGTTTACTCATTTGGTTGTTTGGCTGCATTTAATTCTGAGAAATTAAATGAAGTACTTATCTGACTATGAGAATTTAGATATACAGGGGCTCTTGGGATAAAAAATTCTCAAGTGAGAGCAAATGTTTACCTTTCTTCAGGGGTTGCTGGGCGGGAGCAGTCCCAACCTACCATGTTCCAGCTCCTCATTCTGGGGGCGTCACTTCTCGTACTCCGCAGAGTCTAGAGTCAGAGTGGCGCTCCCAGGCCGAAGGCTTCTAATGGAAGGTGGTTCTGCGGACTGTCATTGTCGCTGGATAGTCTTCGTCTAAAACGTCCTGATGCCTAAGACCTAGGACTTCTGAGGGCCAGCCCCCTCTGGGGAAGAGCGGTAAACACCGCATTACACGGTGCCCGTCTCTCCTCAGTGCCCTCAGGAGATCGGTCTGCCAATCCTGCCACTCTGCCACTCACAGGGCAATGCGGTCTCTGGCGAGTGCTTCTCTAGGAGGCTCGCTACCTCTTCGGAGGTCTCTAAAGTAGTAAAGTAGCTCATCCCCTGCCGGTTCGCCGCTTTAGGGCACTGAGCTAGCCGCTCTGATTACACCAGAGGTCAGTCTCGAGAGACTGATTCCCTTTGTAGGTCACCTGATGGTGTGGGAGCCCCTGCCAAGCGTGCCCTATTGGGTCCTGCCCCGAGCAGGCTCTGGGTCTATCAGTCTAGTCTTCCTAGCAGATGGTGCGGGTCTGAGGACCGTCATGAGCGGTGTACACACGGTGCCCGTCTCTCCGCAAAACCCTCAGGAGATCAGTCTGCCAACCCTGCCAGTGTTCCAGGGCGCCAGGGCGCAGCATTTGTTTCTGCCTTGCTTCACTCTCAGAAGGCTCTCTTTGAGGATGGAGCCTTCACTAGCGTTTCTCGCGGTGCCGGCTCCGCTTTCCCCGGGGCAGAGCGGCGGCTGTGCTCGTGGGGTTCGCATAGGGATCTGGTGGAGGGAATGTAGATGGGCGAGTACCTATCTTCTTCCTCACCCACCAGATCCAGAGCCCGCACTCGGGGTTCGGAAGCCTGCGCTGCGGTTCTTCCCCCCCGGGGAGAGGGCTCGATGCTCTGCCTGTCTTCCTCCGAGGAGGTTGATATGGAGGGCGTCAATGAGCTCGCCAGTTGCTCAAGCATCAGTTACACAAGCATATTATGCCTAATATTATAATGAGCAGCATTACTGGGGAGCGGAGCTCGCACAGTCAGCTCTCGGGGGGCTGATTGTGCCTTTCCCGCTGTTAAGCGCTCCGCCCTCACCAGGCACGCTCCAAAGAAATGTTTCCATGCCTGTGATCTTGCGGTTCCGGTCCCACTCCTGCTGAGGCATGGCAGCGATTGAGTTCGCGGGGATCGCACATGATCTGGCGGATGGGTTGGAGACGGGCTCTCCCTATCTCCACCCACGTTCCCTAGATCTAGCGCTCGCTCTTAAAGCTCGGAAGCCCACACTGCGGTTTCTTCCCCCTCTGAGTGAGAGCTCGCTGCGGCATTTATCTTTCTCCAAGGAGATTGATATTGTTTGTGTGACCGAGCGGGCACATTGCTGAGGCAATGCATGCATTAGGCAAGGCAAGTTTATTTATATAGCACATTTCATACACAATGGTAATTCAAAGTGCTTTACATAAAAGAAAAGTAAATACATCATTTTTGGTTTTTGATATTAATCTTATCACACCAGACCATGTTTACTCATTTGGTTGTTTGGCTGCATTTAATTCTGAGAAATTAAATGAAGTACTTATCTGACTATGAGAATTTAGATATACAGGGGCTCTTGGGATAAAAAATTCTTAAGTGAGAGCAAATGTTTACCTTTCTTCAGGGGTTGCTGGGCGGGAGCAGTCCCAACCTACCATGTTCCAGCTCCTCATTCTGGGGGCGTCACTTCTCGTACTCCGCAGAGTCTAGAGTCAGAGTGACGCTCCCAGGCCGAAGGCTTCTAACGGAAGGTGGTTCTGCGGACTGTCATTGTCGCTGGATAGTCTTCGTCTAAAACGTCCTGATGCCTAAGACCTAGGACTTCTGAGGGCCAGCCCCCTCTGGGGAAGAGCGGTAAACACCGCATTACACGGTGCCCGTCTCTCCTCAGTGCCCTCAGGAGATCGGTCTGCCAATCCTGCCACTCACGGTGCTTCAGGGCAATGCGGTCTCTGGCGAGTGCTTCTCTAGGAGGCTCGCTACCTCTTCGGAGGTCTCTAAAGTAGCTAGTTTGGCCATCCCCTGCCGGTTCGCCGCTTTAGGGCACTGAGCTAGCCGCTCTGATTACACCAGAGGTCAGTCTCGAGAGACTGATTCCCTTTGTAGGTCACCTGATGGTGTGGGAGCCCCTGCCAAGCGTGCCCTATTGGGTCCTGCCCCGAGCAGGCTCTGGGTCTATCAGTCTAGTCTTCCTAGCAGATGGTGTGGGTCTGAGGACCGTCATTTTCAATAGGAGACTTCAGCTATGAGACTCCTGATGCCATGGCTCAGGACCTCGGAGGGCAGGCCCCTCTGGGGAAGAGCGGTGTACACCGCATCACACGGTGCCCGTCTCTCCGCAAAACCCTCAGGAGATCAGTCTGCCAACCCTGCCAGTGTTCCAGGGCGCAGCGGTCTCCGGCGAGTGCTTCTCTCAGTTATCACCCGGAAACGTAGTGGTGCTAAGAGGCTCGCTACCTCCACGGAGGTCTCTAGAGCAGCTAGTACGGCCGTCCCCTGCTGGTCCGCCGCTTCAGGGCACTGAGCTTGCCGCTCTGATTACACTAGAGGTCAGTCTCGAGGCAGCGTGGAAACTACTGCCAAATGTGTATCAGTTGGTCCTGCACACTGTAGAGAGAGGCTACAGAATCCAGTTGGTACTCCTCCGCCTCAGTTCAATGGGGTTATCCCCACCTTGGTGGGTCCCGAGCAGGCTGTGGTAATGGAACAAGAAGTAGATACTCTTTTGAGGAAGGAGGCCATCGAGGTGGTCCCTCCTTGTGGAAGAGAGTCCAGGTTCCACAGCCGGTACTTCATCGTTCCGAAGAAGGATGGAGGTTTGCGTCCCATTTTAGATCTGCATCAGTTGAACCGTTCAGTCATGCGACTGAAGTTCAGGATGCTCACACTCAAACAAGTAGTGTCTCAGATCAGGTCTGAGGACTGATTTGTCACAATCGATCTAAAAGACACATACTTCTATATCTCCATCCTTCCTCATCACAGGAAGTTCCTGAGGTTTGCTTTGGGGGCAAAGCTTACCAGTATCGGGTTCTTCCTTTCGGCCTTGCACTCTCACCCCACACTTTCACCAAGTGTGTGGATGCTGCTCTGGCTCCTCTGCGACTCCAGGGCATCCGCATACTCAACTACATCGACGATTGGTTGATATTAGCTCATTCAGAGCAGATAGTGAAAGAGTTGGGGTTAAGACTAAACACCAAGGAAAGTGTGCTTTCTCCATTACAGAGGACCACTTATCTGGGCGTGGTGTTGGATTCGACCGCGATGCAGGCACTTTTGTCTCCTGCTCGGATCGAGTCGATCCTCACGGCAGTCAAGAGAGTGAGAGAAGGTCAGTCACTCACTGTCAAGCAGTTTCAGAGACTGCTGGGTCTGATGTCAGCTGGGTCCAACGTGATACCTTTTGGCCTGCTGTACATGAAACCCCTACAGTGGTGGCTCAAGACCAAGGGGTTCTCCCCGAGGGGAAACCCGCTTTGCATGCTTAATGTCACGCGGTGCTGCATTCGTGCCTTAGACATGTGAAGGAAACCTTGGTTCTTGTTTTAGGACCCGGTGCTGGGAGCTCCTTGTCGCCTCGTAACGCTAGCGACAGACTACTGGTTGGGGAGCGGTCATGAGTGGTCACTCAGCCCGCAGTCTGTGGAGTGGTCGCCATATCAGTGGCACATCAATTGCCGTGTTTCTAGCTTTGAAACACTTTCTCCCGGACCTAAGAGATCGCCATGTGTTGGTGCGCACCGACAACACATTGGCCAAAGTGTTTCTCGACCCTCGAACGGGGTATGTCCCTAAAGTCGCCTCCTCTACACCATGGCCTGTCGTACTCCAGGCCTTCTGTCCTCCTCACTTCCGGGAGCCTGACCAGCAGAAGCTAAGAGAGGTCTTCCTGCTACTAAGCAGACCCTCGGCCGGTGGATTGTAGATGCCATTTCCATTGCTTATGAGTCCTCTGATCTCCTCTTGCCATTGGGGGTCAAGGCTCACTCGACTAGAAGTGTGGCGGCCTCCAAGGCCTTTTTAGCAGGTGTGCCTATGCAGGACATCTGCAACGCTGCGGGTTGGTCCACGCCCCTCATGTTCATCAGGGTCTATGGCCTAGAAATGCGAGCCACTTCAGGCTCTTCTGTTCTCTCGCTCTAGCTGTGCCCTTCCACACTAGGCAGGGATTTGTAATTCTGGCGGCGTGGGCATACTCATTCCTATAGCGTTTTGACGCAGCTCAAGTTCCTGAAAGGGAACATCTCCAGGTTACGCATGTAACCATGGTTACATGCGTAACATGGAGACGCTTCTTGTTCTGTAGTTTTCATGTTTTGTCATTGTTGTAAAATCAGACTCAACACATCATGGCTTGCCTTGTTTGAACTGAGCGATATTTCAAAGTGAATGGCAGATGGGACAGATTTCTTTAACCTTCATATATCTCTTTCTAATCCTGTTTTTTTTTTTTACCATTCTACTGGTAGCATTATCAAATTAGTCAAAATATTTATAAAAACAGGGTCCCACAGTCATTGAAAACCTGTTATTGAATAAATAAAACAAAATGGGAAGTAAAAAAAAAGCAATAAACTTTAAAAAAATTATAAAGAAATTTCTATAGTTCATATCTAGTTGTTTTCTGCTTTAAATTTGCTCTAATATTTCACCAGGTATATATTATATGTCTAGTTGTGCTTATCTATAGCTAAATCTGCTTTCAAGCCATTCAACTGTCCATATACTGTATGTATTTCAGTACATATAGGTATCTCTAGTATCTCCTAGTTGTACTGTATAGTGTTTGCTTTTTTAGTGATTTACAGTACAGTGTTATTTTTTTCTGAGGTCAAAGAATTAGTCTGAAACTCGGATTGATTATTCTCATCCCAGTCTTATTTAATGTGAAATATCTTATCTTTAAATTATTTCTAAAGAGACTACAATGCCCTCCATGGAATTATTCAGTTTTTCAGAAACACAAAGATGTGTAAATCTTACATGTCTTATAAGAGCAGTACCCTGTATGCTGTATTTGTGATCATGATTTGAACCTGCTAACAATCTAGAGGCAACAATTTCATGTGGTTCAGAGAAAAGAGCACCTTTTTTCTTCCACTGACGTTAAACTAGGGGGGGGGGGG